GTACTGAGGATGGAACCCAAGGCCTTTGTACTGAGCTATATCCCCAGTCCTTTTTTATTACTTATTTTGAGACAAGGTCTCACTAAGTTGCCCAGCTAGGCTTGAACTTGTAGTCTTCCTGCCTCAGCCTCCTACAGTGGTGGGGTTGTGCATGCCACCACACCTGCCTATGAAGCTGTAGTTTATTTGACTATCTAAATATGGAAATTATCAAAGCCCTTCAGAATTTCATCTCGCGGTATTTATTGCATCTTAATGTTTTACTGTGTGAGATTGGTTTCCTTACCACATGCAACTTTCAGCATGGTACTGAATGAACTCTTAAATCCCAGTTCCATTTACTAACCATATGACCTTTGATAAGCTGCTTACCCTCTTTAGACTCAGCTTCCTTGTCTGTAAATGGCAATAATAATATTTACTTTGCAGAAATAGAAGTACAATTTGTAATATTCCAGACACAAGGTAGGAATTCAGTAGTTATTATTTCTATTCCTAAACCTTTTTTCATGTTGTTTCTGGAATTTTGTTCTCGTTCCCATCAAATTATGCAAGTCCAGCCCTCCTTCAGTGTCACCCATCTTTTCCTGGGTATCCCAACTATAATTTCAAGTTTATTCCTGTATGGACCACAATGATGCCTACAGTTAGTACTGCTTAATTTAGCATTTAATTATTTTAAGCACAAAGTCAGTCCGGCATATATTATTTCTGTTGTTTCATGTTTCAGGTTTTGTCTTCCTAGTTATACAGTATTTTGAGGTTCAGGAAGACATCTTTATATTTTCTCTATAATTCCTACCAGTCTCACATACAGTAGACACTCTTTATTTATCGAATGAATAAAAATAAGTAACAGTACAAACTATAAACTTCTTTAGTGAATGAAATATTTTCCCTTTTTCTTTGCAGTTTGGAGGAGCTCTTCCTGTGCCTTAATGACTATGATACAGTGTCTTGTTCGTCTATTTGCTGTCATTCTCTTAAGCTCCTACATATAACGGACAATAACCTCCAAGACTGGACTGAAATACGGAAGTTAGGAGTTATGTTTCCTTCACTGGATACACTCGTCCTGGCCAACAATCATCTGAATGCCATTGAGGAGCCTGATGATTCATTGGCAAGGTTGTTTCCTAATCTGCGATCCATCAGCCTCCACAAATCAGGTGAGGCACAGGCTCTTTTTCATGCTGTATGCAGATTAATCTGAGTTTATGCATGAAATACAATGAAAATGTATTTTTTTCAGTCATACTTCTACCTTTTTAAAGGACAAATTTTCAATATGACATGCCAGTGCCTACTGATTGACTAAATTTAAGGCATTCATGTTCCTAAATGCTCTAATAAATATTAAGTGACATAGCATTGCATTGGCAACTTATATTTTATATATTAAAGAGGTCATGCTATGGAAGGAGTGGAATGAAGATGATGAATTAGATAATAAAAAGGCAGAGTAAAAAGAATTACAAACTAGACTGCTTTTTCTGTATTACGATAAGGAGTCCCAACCTGGTATTTTCAAATGCTTACCTTCCTAATATCTGTAGTTTTTTATCCACTTGTTGCCATCTAGTCATATCACAGAAATGGATGTATTCAGCCTGTTCCTTTTTTTTGAATTAGCAAATGTTTTGTTTCAGGGTATTTCGAAGTTCATAGCAAATTGACCAGGATGTATAGAGAGTTCCCGTATATGCTCTGTTCCCCGTGTATGTAGACCCCCAATCACTATCAGGATCCCACACCAAAGTAGTAAATTTATAGTGTTTTAATTCATAAACTTATGGTGATATACCATTATAATTTACATTAGGATTCATTTGTGGTGTTTTATGTTGTTTGGGATTTGACAAATATAATAGCGTGTACCCACCATTGTTGTATTGTGCAGAGTAGTTTCACTGCCCTGAGAAAACACCTTTGTTCCATTTATTTATCCCCCATGTCCTGACAACCACTGATCTTTTTGTCCTTTCTAGAATGTCATGCATTTTGAATCATACAATATGTAGCCTTTTTATCTTTCATCTTTTTCTTTCTTTTGTTTTTGTGTTTGTCTTTTTGAGACAGGGTCTCGCTATGCAGTTCAGGCTGGTCTTGACCTCACTTTGTAGCCCAGGCTGACTTCGAACTCACAACGATCCACTTGCCTCAGCCTCCCAAGTGCTGGGATTATAGGCGTGCACCAACACACCCAGCCCAATATGTAGCCTTTTTAGATTGCCTTCTGTCTTAGTTCCTTTCTCCTTGCTGAAACAAAATACCTGACACCCACAAGTTAAAAGCAGAAAGGTTTATTTTGGTTCACAGTTCGTAGGTTTCTGTCCATACTTGGCTGGCTTCAAGGCAGGGTGGCATGGAAGAGGGGCATCGCAGAGGAGAAACAGTCCATGGTACAGCAGGTAGGAGGCAGCAGCAGAAAATTAGAGGCCCCCTTTCCCTTCTTGTCCCATCCAGGCCATAAGGCTTTTGGGTGGTACCACCTACATCCATGGTTGGCCTTCCCATTATCCCCACCCAGAACTGTGGTAAACCAATGAGTTGACTAATCAAGTACCACACACCCATAGTCCCAATATCACACACCCTAGATCCAGTCACCTCTTAAAAACCCAACCTGTGAACATATAAGGCCTTGGGGAACACATGAATTACAAGCCATAACAATTCTATTCCATTTTTTTTTTTTTTTTTTTTGGTACCAGCGGTCAAACTCAGGACCTTGTGCTTGCCAGGCAGGCACTTATGCTTCTGAGCTATATCCTCAGCCCATGACAATCTTTTTTTTTTGTCTTTTTGAGACAGGGTCTCACTATGCGGTTCAGGCTGTCCTTGAGCTCACTTTGTAGCCCAGGCTGGTCTCGAACTCACAACAATCCTCCTGCCTCAGCCTCCCGGGTGCTGGGATTACAGGCGTGCACCACCACGCCGGGCACAATTTCTTTCACTTTGTAATGTGCATTTATATCCTCCATTCCTTTTCATGGCTTGATAGGTCATTTCTTTTTAGCACTGAACAGTGTCCCTTTTGCTGGATATACCACGATTTATGACCTTCTGAAGGACTTCTTGTTGCTTCCAAGTTTTGGCAGCTTTGAATAAAGCTCCTTTAAATGTCTACATGTAGGTCATTGTATAGACATAAGTTTTAAGCTCATTTGGGTAAATTGTAAAGATATAATTTTGGAGCATATAGTATGAGTATGTTTAGTTTGGTAAGAGACTGCCAAACTGTCTTCCAAAGTAGCTATACCATTTTTATTCCTACCAATAGTGATCAAGAGTTCTTGTTGCTCCACATTCTTGCCAGCATTTGGAACCGTCAGTGTTTCCGATTTTTACTTTTCTAACAAGTGTGTCACAGTATTGAAATTCCCTAATGACATATAATGTTGAACATCTTTTTGTGTGCTTGCATGACATCTGCATATCTTCCGTGATGTATGAGGTGTCAGTTTAGGTATTTTGTGCATTTTTAGTTGGATTTTTTTTTTTTTTAGTACTGAGTTTTAAAAGTTCTTTTTCTATTTTCCCTAACAGGCCTTTATCAGATATGTATTTTACAACAACCTTTTCCCAATATGAATCATTCTTGGGACATTGTCATTCATTCTATTTCTTGGAACAACTGCATAATTGAAAGTAACTCTCACCAACAACTGAAGAAAATATAAACTTAGTTTATTTCACCATAGATATTACAAGTGAAAAATAAGTTTTTAAAAGCCAGTATTTTGTGTAAGGAAGCTGTTTATTTCACAGTGTGATACCATTGACCTAACTCTATTCTTCCTTCTAGATGGAAATGCTGTTATAAGGGAAGAGGACAGTTGTGATTTGGAACAGTTTGTACCAGGGTCCTCATAGGTTGTTCCTCTGTCTTTACCTTTGCAGAAGTTTTGTAGCAATAGGAAAGGCCTGTGTTGCTGTCCAAAATGAATTTCCTATGGTGTAAAATTGACTAGCTTCATAATTATAGGAACATTTTTCTTGCTTTTAAGTCCTCCATGACTTGCAAATCAAGTATTGACTTGGATGATACATTTTCTCATAACCATAGGGACAGTTTAATTTTATGACTAAAAATCTTCATTTGTTGTATGTTCTCCTTACTAAAAGGTTCAAGGTTCTTGTTTAACAATGATTTTGGATCCATTTCTCATGTCATAAAATGAGGACAGTATGAAAATGATAATATTTCATTCCTGATTGTGTTGGCCATATCTCATTTTAGAATTTGCCAGGTAAAAATTTGAGTATGACAGTATCAGCTCTGATCCATAGTTATATTCCATGAGTCTGTAAAATAAAATGAGTTGGAATAGCACTTTCTTAAAAAATTATGTAATTGTGGCATGTTATTGAAACCATCTGCGACCCCTGTTGTGAATCATTTTGGTAAAATCAGGAGATGAGAGGATGTTGGAGAACAAGCCTGTCTCTTCTTGATCGCTGAGCTTGTAGAGATAGGAGAGGCTCTGGTAAAATTTTTATGGTGCATGTTCCAGTTTTTCTTTGGATAGGGAAAAATTTTAGACACTCTAATTTATGATCATGTTTACATTCCCAAACTTATTAATTGGAATAATCTCTTTTTATTTGTGTGCCTTTCTGTGTTAACTTAAACAATATCTTTCTCAAATTAGGTTTGCAGTCCTGGGAAGACATTGACAAACTAAATTCATTCCCCAAACTTGAAGAAGTAAGGTTGTTAGGAATTCCTCTTCTGCAGCCATATACCACTGAGGAGCGCAGGAAACTGGTGGTAGCCAGGTCTGTTATCCTGATTTCTTTTGTTTTCTTTTCATAGGGCCTTATTGTTTCCTTAAAGAGGTGATGCACTATTTGGGGAGTGGGCACTCTGAATCTACCCATATCTTGAACAGACTATGATTGAAGGAGCTGCATCTGTAGCTTCCAGTCCTGGATAAAAACAATTACCATGAGGAAAATGTGATACCTAATTGTGCTGCCAGTGCCACTGAAATATTCCCTCACAAATCTATTCTGTTGTTAGGGCTTTTGGTATTAAGATATTTGAAGAACTGTTTTGGGTCACGAGGTAAAAAACTATATGATGGGGAATCATTCCTTTTGTAGTTGTAGTTGTCGTTATTTCCTCCATTAAAGTAATGATCATTTAAAGTGCAAATACGTGGAAGTGGGCTATTTCAGCAGCCTCTGAATTTTCTTCTTGAATATATGTTGACTTAAATATGACTGGCATTTTTATTATCCTCTGTGTCTGACTACCTGGCCTTTTGTATCTCAGACACTGCTTCCACAGACTACTAGAATTTCCTATTAGGGGTAATTTTATAGCAAAAATGAGATTTTGACTAAAATGGAAAGAGCCATGGAGCTTTGCTTTGTTCTCTTTGTGCACTAAACATAGTAGTTTTGGAAGAGAAACAGTAGGCTTTAAGTTTCTCTAAAGAAGAATGGTTCTTTAAACACTGTTTTGATCTTTCTGACCAAGTAATGCCTGGAAGACTCTTACCACTCTGCAGGTGTTAACATCTATATTAGTATCTCAATGAAAAAAGAAATGTCAACCTGCTTTTTTTTTAAAGAAGACTGAGTTTTGGAGAAGGCCTTATACATTATTGTCTTCACACACTTCTTTGCAACTATGATAAATTGATTCCTGAATTATATAATCATATTATACTGAGCACTCTTTAGATATGTGCTGTTTTATATAGTAGCCACTAGCCATGTGTGACTGTGAACACCTGAAATATGTCTTGTCTGAATTGAAATGTGTTACAGAGAAAATATATGCTGGATTTGAAATACTTTTCTATGAATAAAAGAATAGATAATAGCTTTATAATTATTTTTCAATACTGACTACTGTACATGTCAAAATAATTATATCCTGGATATACTGGATTAAATAAAATGTATTGCTGGCATTAATTATTGTTAAAAATAATTATTGTTAAAATTAATTAATCAATTATTTTTTCTTTTTTAAAAAGTGTGATTACTAGAGAATTTAAAATTACATTTGTGGTTTGCATTAAACTGGATGGTGTTGCCTAGAATCTTATTTCAAAAGATGAGGTGTGATTATGAAAGGTCAGTGTCACATTCACAGTGAAACTAGATTTCTTTGATCTTTTATATGACTTCAGTTTATGTCTATATTTATATACAAGCAAAACTACATCGAATGTCCTTTCAAAGAAGTAAGACTGGTCCTCAGATGAATTACTTTATTTCTAAACTTCAGTACTTTCCGTATCTTAAAGGTCTTTATTTTGGTTTTAACTTGCAGATTGCCATCAGTTTCTAAACTGAACGGCAGTGTCGTCACCGACGGTGAGCGAGAAGACTCTGAGCGATTTTTTATTCGCTACTATGTGGATGTTCCAAAGGAAGAAGTACCATTCAGGTAAAAATGCTTCATCAGCTTAGCAAAGCACAGTAGTGTTGAGACCACTTTAAACCTATTGCTGCAGGGCAAAATCTAATACTTACTTATTGGATCTTTCTTAGAGAACTTTGATAATGTGTTTTTTTTTTTTTTTAAAGAAAGAAACTCAAAAGCAAACCTGTTGTATCTCGTTTTCCACAGTGTATCTCTTCTCATCTCACACTTGTGTAAGAATGATTATTTCACCAGTTCAGTAGTAGTTTCTGCTCTGTACTTCTTGTCAACAACTTCTTTTTTTTTTAAATTCTCTTCTCTGGTGACACATTTTTACTGACCCTCAAAATTGGTCTCATGTGTTTTGCATTTGCTTTCAGGATAATTTCAACCCTTTGGAAGACTTGGACCGTGTACAGTAGGTTCACAATAGAGAAAACAGTTGGAAAATAGAATTTTAGAAATATTAAAGAATTAGGATGGTTGAGTATGAAGAGAAATGCTGAGTGCTAAGTTAGTAAATACTATTAAGTGTCTGAAGAGTTAATCTGTATTGTTTAGTGAGGAGCTGCTCTTAAAACTCTGCAGTTAAGAGGAAATGTAACAGATGTGATATGGGCAGATATAGAAGGAAAAAAACACAGGTTTCCAAGCGTTGGTAACTAGAAGTGGCTACTAAAAACGTTGTGTACTTTCCTTCCTTAATGACTTTAATAATACTGTACTATGGATACCTACTTGGCAGGAGGAATTTCAGACAGCTGGCATGGAAGTTAGGGCTGACTGTGAGTCACTGTTACAAATATCTGCGATTCTAATTCATTCTTACTGAATATGCCCCCCTCCATTCTCTCATATTTATAGAGACTTTAAGGGGGTTGACAGTCTGTAAGCCTCAACAAATGCCATATGAAAAACATTTTGTAGTATTATAGTAGTGTTTGAAAGCTTAAGCGTTTAAAAATATTATACAAATTAAGTAAAGATTTTTGAGATAAAAATAACAGAGCAACCAAGTAGTAGATATTATTGTATCTTTTAAAGTAACAAATACACATTAAATTAAGCTTATGAGAAAAATTTTTTAGATAACAAATGGCCCATTATCTACAGTTTCATTTAGTTCAATCTAACATATTAAAAGAAGAAGTAAATAACTTGGCTTTGAGCATAAGTCTAGCATTATAATTTTTTAACTCCACTCTTCTATAAGAAGATATACATAGAGAATTATTTCCTGCCCCTGCTGGTGTAATTATCTTGAAGTGTGCTTAAGCCTCTGAACTAGTTGGTGTTCTTGAATGGGAGCCACAGAAAGCACCTTTGATTAAATTTAATCAGGAGAGAAATCTATTAGAAGGACTTTTATTGGAAGGACTTTGGAAACTAAAAGCATTATTAGGCAGGATGAAGAACCAGGGATAGGCCAGAACCCAGGGGGACAAGAACAGAAATGGTTTTTCTCACATTTTGCCTCATAACACTGCTGGCGCTGTCATGCCTGGATACTGCAGTGCCAGGTTTTACCTCTGGACACCTGAAGCTGTGTATTGGGTTTTTCATTTCCCTTTGAGTGCCGAAAACAGTTGCTCACTGACCTTGATTCTCCTGTTTGAAAATATTTTTTAAGTTCTTACTATAAGACTGATGCTGTTGTAGAACTAAGTACTGAACAAAGTTCCTAGTTTTATGAAGCTCAATTTTAATGGGTTCTCTCATTGACCTTTATCTCATTTCTCACGAGCCTGAAATCTATTGGGAACCAAGTGATTGGCTTTGTTTAGGGCATCATGAGGAACAGCCATAGGGACGAAGAGTTGCTTGGTTAAGTTTTGGCTTCTGTAATGAGAGGTAGAATACTGTTTCCCTTGATATTGGTACTTTTCCCCAAATAGGACCAAGTCAGCATAAATAATATGTGACTGTGGTCTGCCTTTTAGACATCCCAATATCTATATGCCTTTTTCCTATGGTTATATAAAAATTTATTCTTAGCTGCCTTAGTGTATTCATTATATACCTGAAATCACATTTCTTTCTAGTAAAATAAGAGAACACTGGTTTTATGAGTTGCTGGATCTACCCATTTCCCTTTTTTTCCCATACCTTGAAACCTATTAATCTAGTTGTAAACCACCTTAGTGTACTCTTTACAAAGTAATGGGCAAGTTAGAGAGGGAAAGTTAATTAAAACTTATAAACATTTATATGAAATGGCAAAAAACAAAATATAAATTGATACTCTGATGTTTTTACATTGATCCTGAATACATAAATGGTATTCATAACTTTCCCCTTCAATTATTTGCCCTTTTTTGTTTACAGCCAGTTAAGATTGCCTTAAGGTATTGTAGTTGGACAGAGGTTTTTTGTTTGTTTATTTTTGTTTTTGTTTTTAACCTGTTTTGGGGTCAAAGGTGAACTTAAATCCGTATGTGTGCGTGTGTGCGTGCGTGTGTGTGTGTGTGTGTGTGTGTGTGTGTGTGTGTATGGTAGGACTTAAACTCTTGGTGGTTTTGCCTGCATGAGGTTGCAGCAATCCTGGATTATTTTTTTATGAGGAGGTCCCAGGCGATACTACAGAAATAGTCTGTTTCCCTCTAAACTCACATGTCCCTCTGCTGTATTTCCCTGTAACCATCAAGGTTACTTTTCTTGGCTGACACTCTTCTTTGAGAGAGAGGCATGCTTTTGGCATAATAATTTGTAGAATTTAAAATGGTTAGAGACTCAGCATCCAGGTGGAGTAATTGTAATAACGGTGGAAACATTCCAGTTTTGAGTGTAAAGCCTCTAAACCCAGCAGAGCTCAGCAATAGGAAAGAACAGTTTTACAAGTTGGTCCTTGGATGTAATCCTGTGGTGTATCATGTCTTTTACTTTTACCCCCAGGTTTGTAAATCTTTTCTGTCCAGGTGATAACTGACAGCATTTTTGTTCAAGATCCATGTCAACTGAAATGTTGAACAGGGATATGGTATGTTATCATCATCATCAAGTCTTTAGTGGTGACACTGTCTTTGTTCCCTTTAGGGAAACAATGTTCCTTTTAGTTTAATGTTAGAATACAGCTTCATTCTAGTGTGGAAAACTCTGTGATGCTTTAACTACTTCAGAAGATTCATGCTGTCAGATTATTTTAATCCTTTCTGGCCTGCTGCCTGTTTACTTATGCCCACTTTCCCTCTCCCTAGTATTTAAATGCCACTTGCTCAGTCTCTTCTATTCTTGAAATGGGTAGTCAGATTTCAGGATCTTCTGTCTCTCCTATCAAGTATTTGTCAGAGATGTGGACATTCCATTGTTCTTGTATTTTCAAGGTATGAAGTAGGAAGTGTCCTCTGGGATCTTTTAAGGTTTATAGATGGAGAATGGGTAAAGGTGTAACAGATTACACAAGCACATCCATGGTTCTTATGTCTTGCAGTTTTTAAATTATTTCTACATTATCCTAAAGAATATGTGATGCTGCACATATTCTTTTAGCATAGGCCATCATTGTACCCAAGTGCAATTGCCAATCAATAATTGGATAAACATTTAGAACCACCCCCAGGTACTAAAGGTAGCTTTTGAATTCAGAATCTCGATCAAATATGGTCATATCAGCAAACAGTTGGAACTAAAATTGCTTTTTCTTGCTTGATATAAACCAGTCAGAATCTGCACCTGTACTTTTTTTTGGATTGGCTTGCCCATATTCATGAACAAAGTCTTATCATTGATATTATAATGAACTCCACAGAGCATGCTATTACTTGATGCTAGTGTAATCCTGTGGTGTATCATGTCCTTTACTTTTACACCCAGGTTTGTGAACCTTTTCTGTATGTATATATGGAAGGATGAACGGTGAAGCAAATGGAAATTAGTTTACTCTTGCAAGGGAATTCCTTCAGGCAAGGAGATTTCACTACTTTCTCAAGCAAGAGAGAGAGGACAGAGTAGGAGGAGCTCCTCAACTAGCAACGGGGGGTAGGGGGAAGCTAAGTGAGAATTCGAGATTTAGGGTATACCCAACTCACAGTCTTCCAAGGCACTGCCATTCCAGTTCTTTTTCTCTATATTAAGCAGTGCTCTAACTTTCATGTAGCAGTCTCAACATGGATGCAAATTGAACTAACTTGTAATTTTTTAGCCTGGAGTATCAAACCTTCCCATATTTTTTTTAGGGTGCCTCATTTTTGTTGTTGTAAGAGAAAAAATATAACTTTCCTTAACAGTACCTGGATTTAGTTTGTACATTGAGACTAATTTATAGGGACTTAGCGTATATTCTTTTTCCTCTTTTTTAAAAATGCTGTCTTGTACCTGTAGACTAGCAGGTGCTCTACCACATAGTCTTGAATCTTCATGTCCCACATTCAGCACTCTCAGTTAACTAGAGCCTTCCATGTGACTATAATGACAGTTATTTCACTGCTTCATGTTAAGGACTTACAGAATATCTTCCAAGAACACGAATATGGTATGCATCATCGGCCCCCTCTAGGCCAGAAACCAAAGCCACATTGCTTGTAATTACCTGAGGATCTATTACATGTAATCCACTGCCTGGTGACAACTTCTTAGTGACAAGTTGAAGTAGGTAGGAACCTAGTGAGAGAATAATGAATACTGTGTAGCTCACAGAAATGACAAGGTTAGAGAAGTAGACATGGGTAGGGTTGGTGGGAAGCAAGGCACAGCCAGGATTTCTGTGTCATTATTTTCTGTATCTGTATGCTTCTGACACTGATTGTTGGGTGATCCTCAGCAGGCTGTTGGACTAAGCTGCCAGCAGGCATTTATAGCCATACTTTTGAATTGTGTCTTTTCTTTTCTGTCTTTTTTCTTTTTCTTTGTTTTATTTTTTTTTTTTAAGATAGAGTCTCACTATGTAGTCCAGGCTGGCCTTGAACTTGTGATCCTCTTTCCCCTAATCTCAGCCTCTAGAGCCAGTGCCCTTGGCTTGATTTTTTTGACTTCTCTATATCTACTGTTAGTAATCTCATTGCAACTTTGTGTCTGCATTACACCTTACA